GGGCCCCGCCCCGGCCATGGAGCGCGGCCCGCACGGAGCGCAAGGTGGGTCCCGCCGCGGGCAGGGGGCGAGGGGGCTCAGGGCAGCCGGCGGGGGTCCCTCCCGCCCGCCGCCTCCGCTCGGTTTTATTGTTCATTGTTTATTTTTGGGGGGTGCCCGGCGCGTCCCGTCGGGCCGCGGTTGCGGGTTCCCCGCTGGGTTCGGAGCAGGGTCGGTCCCTGCTGCTGGCGCCTCGCTCGTCTCCGGCAGCCCCGGAATGAGGAGGGACCCCCACCTTTCCTCCCCCCCGCCCCAAATACTCTCTGCCCCCCCCACATCCTCCCGCAACCACCACCCCCTCTATTCCCATCCCCTCGCCGCACCCCGCCCCGAGGTCCCCCCCGGCCGGCTCTCCCCGGTAATCCCGCGCCCTCAGCCGGTTTCGTAATTGGGTAGGAAAGCAGCCATGTTACCGCCGCGATCCGCGCTCCGCGCTCCGGCCCCGCCGCCCGGCCCGGCCCGGCCCGGGGCTCGGCGGCTGCGGGGCTCGGTCCGGGCACGGCGGCCGGAGCCCACCCCAGCACCCAACAGCGGCACCCGGAGCGCTCGGGGGGAGCCTCGGGCGGCCCCTGTGCCGTGCACACACCCCCTCGGAGCCCCGAAAAGTTGTCTCCGTGGAAAACGGGGCGCGGGGGCAGCGGGAAGAGACTTTGTGTGAGGGTTAAGGAGCTGAGCCCGAATCGCTCCTGGAGTACTCGTGCTGCTCTCGCCGGGCTGAAATTCGGTTTCCTGCTAATCAAGGCGTGTTGCCATCTCTGATACGTTTGTATTTGAATGCTTTTGTATTTGAACGTTTGTATTTCCCATATAATTACAGGCTTGCATGACAGTTTACCCTGAGCAGCCTTGGTGTCAGAACAAAAAATAGTGCGAGCCCTCCCCTTTCCCGATAACAGAATTTACACTTGTGTGATAAAAACGTCAGTAGCTGTTATTTACTCGTTACTTATTTACTGTATCTCTTGGTAGGGTGGTTTGGCGCTATTTTAAATAACAGTAGCATTTTGGTGGAGCTTTTTTAAGGTAGCGTAGCGTTTGTCGGGGCATAGGTGCTACCGGCAGGATGTAATCACGGAATTACAGAATCGTAGAACACTTTGGGTTGTAAAGGATCGTAAAGATCATCGTGTTTCAACCCCCCTGCCATGGCTGGAACTGATTGCATCGCCGGTGTGTTGTTGTTCGTGGCAAACTGATTTAGAGGGATTAATTAGTGGTTTTATTCCATCCAGCTTGAATTTCACTGTTTTGGGGGTGTGGGGTGTGAATTCCACTTGCTCGGCTGAGCTTCCTGGTGGCTGTGGGGATGTGGGAAGTGAAGTTACCTGTGTGGCATGGGATTTTCTGAAATGCCGTGGAGAGGTGCCCGTTGGAATAATCTCAGCCATACACCTCAGCCAGGCTACTGAGGCTTTTGCTTTCATAAAAATCTGCTGAAAGGGCAGAAGGAGGATGCCAGCCTCCATCCTCCCCTGTGGAGCGGGGGCATCAGGAATGCAGATGGTGACACGCTGTACAGGGCATGCATGTGGAAATGCAGGCTTGCAGCCAGGAAAGCAGGTAAAACCCTTCAGCTGCTCGTGCTCACACTGATTCCTGTGTGCGTGTTCAGTGTTGGGTTTTGTTTCCTCTCCAGGACACTTCTGGGAAGATGCAGGTTTCTGCAGCGTGTCCTGGCAAGGGACAGAGGGGTGTGCTCTCTGAGGTTAGGGGTTTTTTTTGTTTTCCCAGAGGTTTTCTAATCTGTTGAGTGATGAAAAAACTCCTCTTTGTGTTCCTTTACTATCAGCATGCTGGAAAACAGTTGGTACCCTGTAAAGGTGCCAAAGAAACGTGCTCTGTTCCCCAAAGCCTGTGTGTTTCTGCTTGCACGCTCTGACTGCATGCTCTCTGGAGTAGTGGGGTCCCTGTGACAGGGGGAAGAAGAGTGGCCCCACCCTCAGCTGGGTGGGAGAGTGGTACCTGCAGCAATTGCTGAAGTTGCTGGAGGGTTTGGTGCATCTTCCCACTCTCTAAGGTGAGAAATTTGGCCCGGTGTGTTGATGACTAGGAGTTAGGAGAGAGGACGCTTCTGCAGCAAGGTGTGACTCCGTGGCTGTGTGGCTGTGGATGAGTCTTTGTCTTTCCACATGAATTTAATAAGCTGTTATTAAAAGTGTGCTATATCCAGCCCTGTATCACTGGTGTTGTAAGAGAAGCAAATCAGTCAAGTGTAAAATGGTATCTAAAGAGTGTTTTGTCTGTCACGCTTAGGAAGGAAAATGGGGAGAGTACTTGGTGCCCGCAAAACCCACCGAGTAGATTCACTCTGCTTTGTGTTTCCTCCCTAAGTTTGGTACTATTGTTTATATGCTGCCATAAATGCTCTCCTACATCACTCTGTTTGTGTAGACAGGCCCAAGATATCTATAGTGAGCCGTATGCTTTTCCTCAAGGATTTTGAGACGACATTCAGAAGGATGGGGTGAAAACAAGAATCTCTGAATAGCTCTGCTGTTGTGTGTCTCCTAAGTAGGAGGGCTGCCAAGCTGTTCGATTTATGCAAATATATTAAAGGCATAAATATATTAAAGGCAGGCAGGAGGATGTGGAATAGGGTGGCAGCCTGCAAGTGCAGATTTGGGGTGTGCTGGTGGTGCTGGGGTGGTCCATGGGTGCGTGGTGGAGTCTGCTTTGGTCCAGGAGGAAAAGCGCGTGGTGGAATCATCATGTCCCTTTGCTTGTGAAATCCCAGAATGGTTCGGGTTGGAAGGGATCTTAGAGATCATCCAGTTCCACCCCCCTGACACGGTCAGGGACACCTCCCACCATCCCATGGTCCTGCAATCCCTGTCCAACCTGGCCTTGGACACTGCCAGGGATCCAGGGGCAGCCACAGCTGCTCTGGGCAAGCCTGTGCCAGGGCCTGCCCACCCTCACAGGGGAGAATCCCTTCTGTGTGGTGGGAAGGAACTCATGATCACAGTGCTGCAGGCAGCTGCTCTAGGTCAGTCCCAAGTTGTGTGGAAGGAGGTGAATGTGTGTCTCTGTGTCACGCTCAATCGATAATTAATACTGAGTTTGTCAGATGTGTTATTTGCGTAATTACAGTGCAGCTTGAGACAGCTGGAGGTAATAATTCTGCCCCTTTTTTGCACTCTGAGACTTTTCTCCACTACAATGAGCTATTTTTGCCATGGCGAGGTATGTTTCAAGGGCCTGTTTTCCATAATTTTAATCAAAACTGGAAGAATTCTGCTAAGAGGGAGAGCAGGATGGTGGGTGTGCGTAGGTAGGCAGGAATGGAACTTGTACATTGTTACAGTCCTTAGCCTGAGTGTTAATCATTCAAACCTCTCAGCCCTGACAGGCTCTTTTAACCATTGAGTTTGCTGGGAGAAGTATTTTGGCTGCAGCCTCTGTCTAAACTTGGATGCAGATCAGGGTGGAAATCAATACTTCATGTCCCCAGCTCTTAGCACAGCAATTACAGGCAGCGCTCGGCAACATCTCTGCAGCCGTGTGTCAGCACCCTCGTGTTGGAATCCTTGGTTGAATTAGTATTGGTTGAATTGATTGTGAGCAGGAGACGTGCCCAGTGGTCTGGGGGGATGCAGCAGAGTGTGGCTGCAGCAGGTCCAGCTTTAGCTGTGATCCCTGTCCATGCTGGCTGCACCTCTGGGCTTTTGGCTCCCTGGCTCTGCCCAACCTACACCTGTGTTTTCAGTAGTTTGGTAAAAGCAGTGTCTGTGGGGAATTCTGAAGTCTGGTGGTGACTTGCCATGCTGCATTGGGTGTTTGGTCCGTTCAGCCTCGTGTTTTTGCCTTAGTCTCCTTCCCACATTAAATAGAAAACACCTTAATTAATTAATGTTGGTAAAGTGCTTGAAGATGTAACACGCAATCAATCACTAAGTGTTATTAATAACACCTTGCTCAGCGTTTGGCTTATCTCATTTCTGATTTCAGAGTGGCGGTGGCACACTCTGATCACCATGTCCTGCCCCATGGCAGTGAGGATTGGAGATGTTTGCAATGGATGCTGCCAAAATTCATCTGGGGATGGGGCAGGAGCTTCACCCTGCTCCTGGAATAAGGGCTGCTCCTTGCTGTGCACTTATCTCGGGCACGTGCAGCGTGAGAAAGATCTCAGTTGTACCTTGGTATGTGGTGATGCCAAGGGGCCAGGAGGACCTTTCTGCTAGTGACAGCCTAAAATAGAGTTTTCTCTTTTTCCCTTTGATCTCAGTATCCTTTCATAGCTACAATGCAAGGACTTTGACTTTTGCCCAGGAGGCAATCAGTTACCTCTGTGCTGTTGCTATTTTGTGAGTAATCATCTCAGGCTGTTGAAAATGTACCATTTTCATCTCTTCAGAAATCTTCCCTGCTATTTGTTCTTCCAGAGCTGGAGAGCTGATACTGTAAAGAAGCCTGAGGTATTTGGACACTGCTGCCCAGTCGGGTGTCGGGAGCATTTTTGTACCATGCTTATCACAACATCGAGGTCTTGCTGTACAATTACTCTTTTTAATAATTTCTTACTTTGTTTCCCTTTGTCCTGCATCGTTCAGGGAGCAACTAGTTTCATGCTCTAAAACAATTGCCTGTGCTGGGAAATAAATCTGTGCTTAGCAATGTTCCCATGGTTGCTTTAGACGCAGGGAACTGGCTGCTGATAACATTCCAGGTCCCTGCTACATTTTAGTCTTTGAAGATGTTGATTTAATTCTTTTCTGGAGCTTTCCTATTCAAAAGCCTCATCTGGCATGGTTAGCATAATATTTAGATTATCATTGCTTTAGGCTTTGTCCAGGGGAGTTACAATGAAGCTCCTAAGGATGAGTAAGCTCAAGTAAACTAAAGTTGAAGGAGGATTTAATCCAGAGCTTTTGACTTACCAGTTTGAAGTATAATCATGAAAATGCTGTTAGATTTGCAGGTGGGGAGAAGGGACATAGAGATAAGCTCCAGTCTTAAGTTGGGGAAGATTAAGTATGATTTTGTAGGTTGTGTTCAGGCACTC